ACAGCCTGCAACAACCACAGGGTGTGTTAGCCTAAACCACCGCAGACCCAGGTGCAGCCCACCATGAGTCCCAGGTATCGGCCGCGGTGCAGCCTGCAACAACAGCAGGGTGTTTATGTTTAAACCTTAACCACTCCAGACCCAGGCACAGCCCACCATGAGCACTAGGTACAGGACGCGGTACAGCCTGCAACAACAGCAGGGTGTTTAAGCCTTAACCACCGCCGGCGTGCGCGGCCCTCAAGGGCCCCGCCGCGCCCCACCGCGCACACCACCAGGTACACCGGCGCTGTTTTCTACCCCTGCAGACACGCCGCACAGAGACCCGCGGAAAAGTTTTTACGGCCCCCTGTTGGCCGTGTGGCACAACTCCGTGTAAACGCATTTGCGTCTGCTGCCGCCCGCGGGCCGGGCAGGGCCGGCTGGCCCGGCGGACAGGCAGCGCGAGGCCACCGCGCCTTGACGACTCTGCATGCAAAACTTTGACGCCTTCCTCCGTATCTCCAGGCGGCGTCCTTCGCCGCGCCGCCCCACCCCTCGCGTCGCATCTTTGTCACCAACAACCGAGCAGTGCCGCGCGGGCGGCGCGGGCGGGCGGCCTCCCGGGCGGCCGGGCCTGTCCGACTGCCCGGGAGCGGAGGAGAGCGGAGCGAGCAGCAAGAAACACGCTGACAAGAATAACTTTCATCTCTGGGCCACTGTGACAGCCTCTTCCGCCGACAAGCACCCCCTCGCCCTCCCCGCCAGGGTTCCTGTGAGAGGAGGGGTGGAGTTACAGAGCTTATTTCCTCCCGTGACAGCGGATGAGCACGTGGCGCCTGGGGCCCGTGGACAGTCTCTAGAAAGCTTTGTGGCAAAGCAACAAAAAAGAGTGTGTTGAGAATCTGTTGTGCTGGTTCAGCAAACATGTTTGCTACATTAGCCCAATTATAATGGCAACATTTCGGCTCTTTCAAGGTAAATAATATAGTATACAGGTACTGTTACCCACCCAATGTCAAACTTCGACAAACTTTGCTGCAGAAATGCAAGTAAAAATTTTGATCTGACGCAAACATTTTTCGGAAACAGCAAACAAACATGCAACAAATTCGTTTTCATTTGCTGTAGGGTACGACCGCGAGGGGCTCATTAGCCGACTGTACGCCCTCCACCTCACTCACCTGGGGTACAGCGTCGGGTGGCCGATCATGACGTAGCGGTTGATGGTGATGGCCAGGACGCTGAAGAGCGAGACGGCGAGCAGGCCGTAGCGCAGCAGCGGGAACAGGCGGCAGAGCAGGTGGCCGTGCGCCCAGGCCCGCCGCCAGAACGTGGACGCGGCCAGCGGCAGCGTCAGCAGCCCCGACAGCAGGTCCGACAGCGCCAGGTTCATGATGAACACCGCCGTCGCGTTTCGCACCTAGACAGGAGACAGAGGACGAGCGTCAGACACGGCGTTTAGGAAGGAACGGACATGATGCATGTTTGATCGTATAAATTTCAATTCTCGCCCTGTCTACATAGGCCTAGTTCGTATTTTGAAACCTTGCGCGCCAAGATTTGATAGAACTTGGGAAATCCAAATCCAAACATGGGGGAGCGTGAAGTTTCCCAACAACTCCTCTCCGACCACGTTGTTCGCTATGTGTGTAAGGAGAGGTGAATCAAACATTCTACCGAGCCCCGCGGCCCGTTCGTTGCACCCGGCCCGTGGCCACACAACGCTCCCCGTACTCGTCTCATGTTCGACTCTCTCCCCTAACGCCGCACCGGTCGCGACTCGGTGTGTGTGTGTCAGGGGAAACATTTCCCGCCGCTCGTAATTGGTTCTAAGCTCCTTTTGTGATGTCTTTACTGCAGAGGCTGCTGGTGCTCGTGGCTCACGGCCCTCACTCGTAAAAAGAGCGCGGTGCACACGAGCAGGGGCCGGCAGGGGAGCAGGGCATTCAAGTCCTTGTCCCTCCAATTGGCTTACCGTGAAAAGGGCAAGAGGGGGTAGGAGACGAGAGGGAGAAAGGGAGGGAGAGAGAGAGAGGGAGAGAGGGAGAGATAAAGAGAGAGAGAGCCGCAAAGAGCACACAGCAGAGTAAGAGGGAGAGGAGAGAGTGTGGAAGAGAAGGAGATGCGAGAGACTGTTTGGGGGACAGAAGCAGGAAAGGGGCGGTCCAGAGAGCAGCAGAAATGCCGAGAGTATAATTGGAGACGTTTAACGGAGTCGCCCTTTTGAGCTCCCAACTAAAAGAGAGCTGTGTGTTTGTGTACGTGTGTGTGTCTGTGAGTGTGTTTGTGTAGGTGCGCCTATGGGAGGGACTGTCTGGCCTGTGTGAGTGTGAGTAACCCGCTCTGTGAAAGCAGCTCCCCCATGGCTCACACAGGGCGGGTGCAGGACTGGGCGCTGCCCTCTCGGTGAGGATGCGGAAATCTCTTCCTCCAAATGAGGAGCAAGTTGGTAAAGTTGGCAGAGAAATGAGACAGAGAAGGGGGAGGGGAGAGAGGGGGTGGAGGGTAGAAGTAGCAGCGCGCGCTGGAAAAGCAGAAAGAGATGGGGATGGGGGCTTCGACTGTGGCACTGTGGCACATGGCTGCGAAAGGATATATCACCTCCCGGTGCTATGCCGGACTGGGAGAGAAGGGACTTTTGTTCTCGGGAGATCAGGAGTATAGATCAACTCCTGGCCGTCCTCTATCCGGCCACGCCCGGCCGGGCCAACGTCTACGTGACGCGTGCATCTGAGGGGATATAAAACTCCGGTAGGCTCGGCTCGACTTCGTCTGCACCGCGGTTGGGGAGGGGAAGCGGGGACTGGCCGCGACTCCCCAACAAAACACCACACACGCACGCACTCGGGAAAAATAAATAAAAAGTGAGAAGAGAAGAAAAAGAAGACAATAGTGTTTCGGTATGGAGGAATATAAAAATCGCTCCCCCTTGCGGAACGCAGCAGCAGCATCGAAGCTCGAAATCGGTTTTCGAGTGTACAGCATTAAACTGCGATCCGTCCGACGACGACGTATTTATCTCCTCGGGCGGGCGAGAGGGCTCTCACTGCGCTCCGGTCAGGGGGGAACAACTTTTTATCAGAGGGCAGCTGTCTCCTGGGCCTGCGGCAGCCTTGCGCTGCGCAGCGGCGCTCACCTTGGCCGCGCCCGCTGGGTGGCCTACCCGGCCGGCCGGGGCTGCGTCGAGCAGATAACCGGGTAGAGAGCGAGAGGAGAGAGGTATCTCTGGGCTTACACAGTCGCCTTGCGAGGGAGTAAAACAAAAAAGAAAAAAGAAATGAGGTTCCAAACGGAGAGAGAGGGAAGAAACCGTGAAAATTCAAGTACGTGAGATAGTCGAGGTGCTCTGCGTCGTTCTCCCTGCTCGTGTGCGTCCACTCGACGCTCGAGGAATAGCCGGGTAGGGCGGGGTACCCGAAAAAGAGGAAAAAAAGGGGCCGCGTCTTTTAACCCTCTCAGTGGTCACGACTATCTACCCGTTCCGGGGCCGCGAGGTAGCCGGGTCAGTTGGTTTAGGTCGTGTCCGGGATGAGGGATGGAGTGCACGCGGCTAGCAGAGGGACCTCGACCGCGGCCGCGTCATGCTAGACTTCTTGGCGACCCAGTTACCCAGGCAAACGTCCGTGACAAAACTTTCTCAGCGATTCACGGTGAATGTTTTAAAACCGCTAATCATGAGACCTCCCAAATGATCATCGATGAAACTTTTTTTTGTAAAGTAGACTCTGACTGCAAGATTTTACGGAACCGATACTGATACATTTCACAGTGATTCGGCGGATGGAGACGTGAGGAAGGGAAAACTAGGAAGAGTGGAAAAGGAGAAGGGGATCAACGCTGCTTATGAGAAAGTGATGACGGATTGCCGTCCCGGCAGCGGTCGTGGAAATGAAGTGAAAACAATTTTAATTTTATCAACGTGATGCGATCATCGCCTGGCTATTGAATGGCCCAACGGCCTCCAACGCGCCGAAGTGCTGACCCCCCCGAACGGTAACAAAGCGGGTTGAAAATGGGGGTAGGGGGTTACGGATCCGCATTAATTTTATACCCCTCGCCATTTGCTTTCATCATCGTTTTTTTTTTTCACAACTCCCCCCTCCTTTCCTCCTTTTCACACGAAGAATTTGATTCCACCCGCGTTGGTTATGGTGGTGATGCGGCGAGGTGTCACCCCTCCCCCTCCTCTCACCCCTTCTTCCCTTTCACGGTATATCCTGCCTCCCGCCGGGGGGTCCCCGTCACATCGCTCTGCTGGCGACGAGGCTTATAGTCCCATCACCGTCACCACCACGTCACAGCAGCAGCAGCAGCAGCAGCAGCAGCCCACGCCAGCGCCACCCGTCACGCTTAAATCTCATTCTTTTCAGCTAAGCGGATGTATATTAATTCCGGCATCTACTAATTCCCGGCCGGCCGCCCCCGCTCACAGCAAACACCCACACCATGTCTGCTTCAATCCCGGGCGTAACCACTCTTCTCCCCTCCCCTTTACGCTTCCCCCCCC